TATCAATAACCTCAGATATGCAGATGATACCACCCTTATGGCAGAGAGTGAAGAAGAACTAAAAAGCTTCTTTATGAAAGTGAAAGAGGAGAGTGAAACAGCTGGCTTAAAGCTCAACATTCAGAAAACTAAGATTATGGCATCTGGTCCCATCTCTTCATGGGAAATAGATGGGGAAAGAGTGGAAACAGTGGCAGACTTTTTTTTTTGGGGGGGGGTGGCTCCAAAATCACTGCAGATGGTGACTGTAGCTATGAAATTAAAAGATGTTTACTCCTCGGAAGGAAAGTTATGACCAACCTAGACAGCATATTAAAAAGCAGAGACATTACTTTGCCAAGAAATGTCTGTCTAGTCAAGCCTATGGTTTTTTCAGTGGTCATGTATGGATGTGAGAGTTGGACTATAAAGAAAGCTGAGCGCCAAAGAATTGATGCTTTTGAACTGCAGTGTTGGAGAAGGCTCTTGAGAGTCTCTTGGGCTGCAAGGAAATCCAACCAGTCCATCCTAAAGGAAATCAGTCCTGAATATTCATTGGAAGGACTGATGCTGAAGCTGAAACTCCAGTACTATGGCCACCTGATGTGAAGACCTGATGCTGACTCATTTGAAAAGACCCTGATGCTGGGAAAGATTGAAGGCAGGAGGAAAAGGTGATGACAGGGGATGAGATGGATGGATGGCATCACCAACTCAATGGCCACGAGCTTGAGTAAACTCTGGGAGTTGGTGATGGACCAGGAGGCCTGGTGTGCTACAGTCCATGGGGTCGCAAAGAGTCAGACACGACTGAGTGATTGTACTGAACTTAAAGATGTTATAAAAGTAAATACTATTAAAAGGATTACAGTATTCTACAACTACAGTTTAATGACTAAAGTGAGAAATCACACAATACCAAGTCTTGGTGAAGATATACAATAATGGAACTCTTAGGCACTGCTGGAAGGCATGCACAAACACTTTGAAAATGAATTAGCAATTCCACTACTATATACACACCTAGGGAAATTTTACATATGTATGTATCAAAGTATATGTATAAAATTTCCATGGTAACACTAGTCCCAAATAGAAGCATCTCAAATATTCATAAATACTTAAATAGGTAAACTTGAATTCTTACAAAAGAATATTTTGCAGTGATATAAACAAACAGACATTACCTCATGCTTGTTTGAACAGCATGAATGACATTCACAAATATATTAAAATAAAGGTGTCAGACCCAAAGGTATACACATCATAAGATCCCTTTTACAAAATTTAAAAACAGACAAAATTCATAATGGTGTCAAAAGTCAAGATAGCATTTATCCTGGGAGATCTCAGTGAGTAGAAGGGGAAAGCACCATCTTCTGGAACTTGGTAATTTTCTATTCATTGAAATAGGTGCTGGTCTCTTGAGGATGTTCACTTCCCAAGCATTTTGAAATGTGTCAACTGTTACACCCATGATTTATTCATTTCTCTGTGTGTGTCATCGTTCCTTTAAAAGTTAAAATAAGTCATAGGATCAGTTGAGGATGATAGGAGGATGAAATTCAAAATCACAATCAGTGTCAACAGAAGGAGAAACATATTTTACTCAAGTTTGTGTAACTCTGTTCCCGTGCACAGACTAGACACTTTCAGATGGGCAAATTATTATCCACACAGGGATACAAAATGAGGAATATTTTTTTTAAAAATCAAGAACTATTCTACTGAAACTTCAGCTTCTCATAAACATGCTCATAAGGGTCTATTGTCTATTACTGTTAGCACATTGCCATTCGTTGACTGGATAATCACCACCTGTGGAAATTGAGAACAATAAGTATCATTAGACACATATGTCCTCAGCCAAAAGGATCCCCAATTATTCAGGGAACCCCTACCTCTTTTCTGTATTCTGGGACCTAAGAGATGAATATCCCTTCCTTCAGGGATGTAGGCTCCTTGCTAGACAAAAACCAACATACAACAGGAGCTAAGAGGCTCTGGGAACATCGGACATAGTTCTATTTTTGTGTCCTGCTGTCTCCTTCAGTTTCAGGAGGAACTCATGTACCTAGCCATCTTTTCCTCACTTTGCTTCCTGACTTTATTTTTCTGGGCTCCAAGATCACTGCAGATGGTGATTGCAGCCATGATATTAAAAGATGCTTACTCCTTGGAAGGAAAGTTATGACCAACCTAGACAGCATATTAAAAAGCAGAGACATTACTTTGTCAACAAAGGTCCGTCTAGTCAAGGCTATGGTTTTTCCAGTGGTCATGTATGGATGTGAGAGTTGGACTCCAAAGAAAGCTGAGCGCCAAAGAATTGATGGTTTTGAACTGTGGTGTTGGACAAGACTCTTGAGAGTCCATTGGACTGCAAAGAAATCCAACCAGTCCATCCTAAAGGAGATCAGTCCTGGGTATTCATTGGAAGGACTGTTGCTGAGGCTGAAACTCCAATACTTTGGCCAACTGATGCGAAGAGTTGACTCATTGGAAAAGACCCTGATGCTGGGAAAGATTGAAGGCAGGAGGAGAAGGGGACAACAGAGGATGAGATGGTTGGATGGCATCACTGACTCAATGGACATGAGTTTGAGTAAACTCCGGGAGTTGGTGATGGACTTGGAGGCCTGGGATGCTGTGGTTCATGGGGTCGCAAAGAGTCAGACACAGCTGAGCAACTGAACTGAACTGAACCTGCTCATTAGTCTGAAGAGGAGAGAGACAGTGAGAGGAAATAAAAACACAGACTCACCATCAGTACGAAACCAATACTGATTCATTACCATTAATTAAAGCCCATACATTACAGATAAATTTTTACCTAGTGTCCTTTTTATACCATAGGATCACATCCAGGACACTACATTAGATAGAGACAGTGAGAGAAACAAAAACACAGACTCAACTCATTTGAACCCCAATCAGGTCCCGAAAATTTCCCTGATGACAAAACAGGTCACTTTGCACCCAAACACAGAGAGAGAGCGGGCGATGCAGGCTTCCAGCAGGGAGGGGACTATTATCACAATCTCAAATACCTTCTAAAGAGGAGCAGATTCCATGAAGAAATAAAAGAAAAAAGGGAGGGAAAGAAAAATGTTATGATAGGTGGATACCTCCATCAGCCTTAGATACCGACTTCAATCTGACCCATTCTCCATTACAGAAATAGATAAGTTCTTTCTCATGCCAAACTAAAAAAGAAGAATTGAAAGAAAATCCTAGGATGGTTCAGAGGAATTTTACTCTTGAACTTAATATCTTTAAAGTAATCGAGATCAAATCAGATATATTTCCATAGTTTTCTTGGCTTATAAATTCTCTATGTTGTCTAGTTCTGTTAGCTGTCTATTTCTATTTCTTGTTAGTTTAGTGTCTATTTCAAGTTAGTTTCCTTATATTAATAATAACCTTCCTGTGTGAATTTATACTTTGTCATCATCTAAACAGCAAAGACTCTGGAGTAGGAGGTAACAACTCACTCCGGTATTCTTGTCTGGAAAATCTCATGGACAGAGTAGCCTGGAAGGCTACAGTCTGTGGGATTGCAAAGAGTCAGACATGACTGAGTGACTGAGCAAAGAGCAAAGAACCAGGTCTGTGAAAGTTATATCACTGTCCTGGTCTTATATGCATATATACAAGAAGCTCTAACCATCTTGGCTTGGTGTTCCAACTCCCCTCTCCTCAACGCCCACCCACCAAGAACAAGGAGCTAATTTAACCACAATAGTACCTGTCCATCTTAACGTGAAACTGTAGTCTTTGAAGAAACATCCTAAGGACTCATCTCCTAACACCAACATGTTCAGAGAAGACTGTTAGAACACAAGGTAACCATTCTAGCAGGTCCGTCAGAAAGGGGATGAGCATTCTCCCCAGAAGATCAAAGTCCCAGATCTCTTTGTGATCACTGGGCAGGATCAGTTGCGGGACAATCACCTCAGGCCAATATACATGTATATAATATAAATATAAATTTAGGGGGAAGTAATCAGAAAATAAAAGCTGTTCAGAAACACTTAGCAGAACGAGGCACTTTGTTCCGGGTCGGACACGGCAGTCAGTTCTGCAGTTAGGATGAGTGTCCCTGTGCCTGCCAGAACGACTCTGACGATGCTCATGCCCATGCTGCTTTTGATCTGAAAGACAGTAAGTGCCCATTACATTTCTCTGTCTCATGTCTTTCCTCCTTCTTGAGAACAAAAACACATTTACTTACTTTGAAGGGGTTGAAGATTCATTCTCAAATTACTTTCCAAGGTCTGAGAACAAAGGAGTATTGCCAAAATAATGGATTTTATATTCACAAAAAATACCAGGGCTGGAGTCTCAGGCCATAGGAATAGGAAAAGGAGGTCCAACCTCAGTTTCCTGATGGAAGAATTTGCAGTGACCTCCTGGAGCCCAGATGATTCAGAGAATCAAAAGGGGCTCATACTAAGTGAGGTAAGTCAAAGACAAACATCATATGATGTCACTCATGTGGAATCTAATTTTTTAAATTAGATTTAAATTTAAAAAATTAAATTTTTATAATTTATTTACAAAATAAACAGACTCACATATTTTAAAAAACAAGCTTATGGTTACCAAAGGGGAAATACGGTGGGGAGGGTAAATTAGGGGCTTGGGATTAACATAAACACACTGCTACATCTAAAAGAGATGACCAACAAGGACATACTGTACAGCACAGGGAACGCTGCTCATTATTCCGTAATAACCTATATGGAAAAAGAATCTGAAAAAAGAATGAATATATTTTGCCGTATGTCTGAAACGAACACAACAGTGTAAATCAACTATGCTCCAGTTTAAAAAAAAAAACTTGGGTGGTAACCTTGGAGTCTAAGCCGGTGGCCTGCCGTCGGCGCGGGGTGGGCTGTGGGAGTCCAAGCTCCAGCCGGGGCCAGGCCTGTTAGGTGCCAGGAGCCGCCGGGGTTGCGCGGGAGTTCGCCGAGGATCGCGGGGAGCAGGAACTGCGGGCGCAGGGCCGCCCAGCCGACATGTCTCTAGTTGCGGAAGCCTTAGTCTCCCAGATCGCAGCTGCAGAACCTTGGCCTGAAAATGCTACATTGTATCAGCAACTGAAAGGGGAGCAAATTTTGCTTTCTGACAATGCAGCTTCTTCTCTTGCTGTGCAGGCCTTTTTGCAAATGTGTAATCTGCCTATCAAAGTGGTCTGCAGGGCAAATGCTGAATATATGTCTCTATGTGGTAAAGTACCTTTTATTCATGTAGGAAATCAAGTAGTATCAGAACTTGGTCCAATAGTCCAATTCGTTAAAGCCAAGGGCCATTCTCTTAGTGATGGGCTGAATGAAGTCCAAAAAGCAGAAATGAAAGCCTACATGGAATTAGTCAACAATATGCTGTTGAGTGCAGAGCTGTATCTTCAGTGGTGTGATGATGCTACTGTAGGAGAGATCACTCTTGCTAGGCACGGATCTCCCTACCCTTGGCCTCTGAATCATATTTTGGCCTATCAGAAACAGTGGGAAGTCAAACGTAAGATGAAAGCTATTGGATGGGGTAACAAGACTCTGGACCAGGTCTTAGAAGATGTAGACCAATGCTGTCAAGCTCTTTCTCAAAGACTGGGAACACAACCATATTTCTTCAATAAGCAGCCCACTGAACTAGATGCACTGGTATTCGGCCATCTGTATACCATTCTTACTACACAAATGACCAGCGATGAACTTTCTGAGAAGGTGAAAAACTACAGCAACCTCCTTGCTTTCTGTAGAAGAACTGAACAACACTATTTTGGCAAAGGCAGCTCATCTATCAGATTGTCTTAGAGTTATGTGTTAATTTACTTATTATTAAAAAATTTAAACTTTTGAAATATGTGTTACTTGAATGATGTAATAGATAATAGTATGAGAATCCAAAGCCCAAAATACTGCTTTTCAAAACTTCAGAACAAATTATGTAATGTATCATATACATGTACTTTATATTATTACTTGTGTATACATTAAAATAATTTTAAATGATTTCATTTGATATGTTGTACCCCGTATCTTTGAAATTTTTGTTTTTTTGGACACTTGTATGCATATAAAAATAAAGCTCAAACAACTAAAAAAAAAAACAAAAACCAAAACTTAATGACTTCTTCTGCCTTGAGATGGAGCACTTCTAATTTTGCTTTCAGGCGCGGGGAATACTTACCGGGTCCAGTGTCATTTTTCTTCCAGCAGCAACGGACAGAGCCCCAGGTGTGAAGAAACGGAGACAGAAGAATCCTCTTAACCCGAGGATCCAGCAACTGTACATGATTGGTGTCTGAGAGACAGGGCTGAAGGGAAGATTTGAAAAATTCTACCATTGAGAAAAGTGGAGCTATTCCAACATACTTAAAATAGGGATCCCACACAGGGTATCCTGGGAGCATGATAAAGAGATAGCACCAGTGAATGTAAGTGTCAGAGGATGATAAAAACACAGACCTGTCACAAACAGGCATGCTTTCATCAGACCAGTGAAGATCTGAGCCACCTGAGGAGAGAGAAAGAAGATGCTCAGGGTGTGAAGCATGAGGGTTGGTAGGAAGACAAACCCGTGATCTCTACACGTAGCTGTTCCCCATCTCCTGATTATTTTAAAGGGCTCCCAGGAAAGCACCCTGGGAATCTATAACTTTTCCTCTAGTTTAAGGCTGTTTAAAGAGGTTTCATGATAATTTTCTTCTTCCTCTCTCTCTAGAGAAATTCATTTTCCTTTTAGATGATGGCACTTCTGATTTTAAAAAAAAAAAAAAATTTTATTTCTAGGTACTGTGAGGTTTATGGAGGTCAGGTTAATCACACCTCAGGCACCAGAAGGGATATCCCTTCTTTTCTCTGGAAATGGCTATCTCCCAAAATATTATGCTTGTAGGTCAAGTTCACTCACCCCCAGTATTTGGGACTCCCCCTTCAGGAAAACCTTCACTTTGTCCATTCAGCTTACTTGCATGATATATTTCTGGAGAAAATCCAGGCAAAATCATATTGTTGTTCCTTCTGGTGTCTTGACACAATCTTCAGTGCTGTAAAATGCAAGTATTTTACAAAGAACAGATTCACTCTCCTACCCCTTTATTTTAGACTTGAAAAATGACCTTTGACAGAATGGATACCATGAAGCAGCTTGGTGAGGGGGTAAGTTAATTGCCTGAGTTATCATCTCAGTCATGCATGTGTGTACTCAGTCATGTCGGACACTTTGGAGACCTCATGGACTGCAGCCTGCCAGGGTCCTCTGTCCATGGAATTTCCCAGGCAAGAATACTGGAGTGTGTTGCCATTTTCTCCTCCAGGGGATCTTTCTGACCCAGGGATGGAACCCTCATCTCCTGCTTTGACAGGTGGATTCTTTACCACTGAGCCACCTGGGAAATCCAGTAAGTGCCACTCATGCCAAAATGGCCTTCTGAGTCAACTTTAATAGGGTTACATTACTGTTGAAAATAGATTTATTGAATTAATAGCCTTTAATCTTCCCCCTTCCCTGTGTTCCTACCAGTGCCATGTGACTTTTCTATTCCATGTATTCTGGAAGTTAGTGTTTTCCTTTTGAGACAGATGTTGAGAAGGCCACCATTTTACAGCCTGAATATTCACCTTCCACAGAGACTAGAATCTGGCCTTTGAAAGCCCAGTCACAAGAATCCTTACTCATCCCAAGTTCACTCCCACCTCAGCCTGTACTAGATGCTCTTCCTGCATATCATTCACTGAGAACCCAATGTAGAACTCTTTCTAGAAGCTGGAAATAGAACATGAGTTCTTCCTACCTTTGCATCATTCCAGAATTGCACCAAATGTGTCCTCCTGGCCATAAGTCTCTAAACCATTTCCACTGAAAAGTCTGGTCAGATCTGAAGAGTAACGTGACAATTATCTTCAGGTCTGTGTGGCCATTATTTCCTGTGAGTCATCCAAACCAGCCTACCAGAGGGCAACAGTAAAGAAACTGTCATGAACCAACCAGTACACTTTCTTAAGATAGCCACCAATCTCCATTCCAAAGCTAAAGACAAATTAGCAGCAAGACCTTGCCTTTTAGATCTTGATTGGGCTCCCAAGCTGTTTTCTGAAATACTACATTTAGGGCTGTTCATATCAAAGCCTTGGTCACATGGAGACAAGTGATTCTGACTCTTACTGATACACTAATACAAAAATTTAGAAAGAAAATAACATCAAACTTACACAAAATTTCCATACTGGAGAAAGTTGTTGCTCAGTCGCTAAGTTGTGTTCAGCTCTTTGCAGCCCCATGGACTCTAGGACACCAGGCTTCCTTGTCCTCTGCCATCTCCTGGATTTGCTAACTCATGCCCATTGAGTCGATGATGCCATCCAACCATCTCACCCCCTGCCGCCATCTTCTCCTTTTGCCTTCAATATTTCAAAGCATCAGGGTCTTTTCTAATGAGTTGGCCCTTTGCAACAGGTAGCCAAAGTATTGGAGTTTCAGCTTCAGCATCAGCCCTTCCAATGAATATTCAGGACTGACTTCCTTTAGCATGGACTGGTTGGATCTTCTTGCAGTCCAAGGGACTCTCAAGAGTATAATAGGGGGAAAATCCCAAGTCACCTAAGTGATTCTAACCCTGAAGTTTATATGTTTATGAATCTTGTCATCTCCTTCCCTTTCTCTCCTTAATTCCCAGTGTTGCTCACCAAACACACGCCAGTTATTCTAAGAGGGGGTTATCTGTCTGGGGGGTGGTGGAGGAGGGGATGGAAGAGGCAGACAGTAATCAATAAGATTAAGACGATTCACGCTCATGGAAGAAAAATGGTCTCACATTCCAGGAGACTAGAGAAGAATTCAGTATCAAGCTCAAAATTTAAATTTTAAAGATAATACAAGTATAGAGGATATCAGATACACATCTCTAATGAGTCTCTTATTTTACTGTCAAGGATCGTAATAAAAAATAAAACAATGGAATACCGAGACTTGAAATGGGGATATTTTCATGAATATGTCTGAGAAATTTGAGTTCCTAGACTCCCCTGTAGCCTGTAAACTGGCAGAGGTTTTCTTACTCCCTGAAGAAGAAGCTCTTTCTTGCTTTTCCTGATGAATTGGGAGACGTTCAAGCATGACTCACTTTTTAAAATGCAATTGAACTTTAATTTTAAAGGGTCTGTTCTTTGGAAGATGTTGCTCTAGAATAAAAAGATGCAAAGGTTGGAGTTTCAAATCAAATTTAAGATAAAGGACTTCTATGCAGAATACATAAAGACCTCTCAAAGCTCCGTAATCAGAAAACAACTCACTTTAAAAGAAGTCAAAAGATTTGAATGGAGGCATCACCAAATGATGACATGAAAAGAAGTTCAAAAGCATTCATCACAGAGTAAATACAAGTTAAAATCACAATGAGGTAGTACTTCACATCTATCAGCATGGTAAAATGTAAAAGACTGGCCATACCAAGTGCTGACACTGATGTTGGGAAATGGGATTTTTCACACACCATTGGTGGAAATGATAAATGATAGTCACTATGGAAACCATTGGGCAGTTCCTTAAATGTCAAACATCTTCCCTATAACTCAGCCTTTTCACTTTAAGTGGAAGGAAATTTGTTGTTGTTCAGTTGCTAAGTCATGTCCAACTCTTTTGTGACCCTATGGACTACAGCCCACCAGTCTTGTCTGTCAGTGGGATTTCCCAGGCAAGAATGTTGGAGTGGGTTGCCATTTCCTTCTCCAGAGGATCTTCCTGATCCAGGGATCGAACCCGCATATCCTCCATTGCAGGTGTTTCTTTACCCCTGAGCTACTGGGGAAGCCCAGAAGGAAATTTACCTAAGAAAAATTAAAGTTTGTGTCCACAAAAAGATTTGAACATGAATGTTCATAATATGTCATAGCCCAAACTTGGAGACAGTCCAAATGCCCTTCAGTAGCCAAATGAATACACAAATTGTGGTACATCTGTACAATGAAAAACTACTCTGTACACACAGAACATGATGACCATAAAAATAAGTTTGTTGGGTGAAAGAAGCCACGTAAAAAAGAGTGCATACTTATCACAAGAGATTCTGTATCTTACTACATTATGACTGGGAAAAGAAGCGAGGCAAGAAAGATAATGTTGTTTTGGACGGAAGATCTTCTCTCTGTGATAACCTATGAGGCCACATTCTCTGACACAGGAAATGGGATGAGCTTCAACACCACCACTGGGAAAATATAGAACCAATATTTAACAGCAACCAGGAATAAAAGTTTCATATTTAGTGACTGACTCCACTCTCTAAGATGCAAAGTTGGGCCAGACATTAGTTATAGCACTGTAGATCCACAAACATAGTTGAATGCTTTCACAAAAGCATGGAGGAAAGACAATATTGAACTGATAGCTTATAGTTTTACTTCCACACATACAAAATCCCTGTTTTAGTTTTGCAGTGTCATCTCTGGTGACCGATATCTGCTTCCACCCTAGCATCCTGGTCCTTTCTAAATTTCCTTCTTCCTGATGAAAGAGTACATTAATTAATCAGTAGAAAGAAGAAGGGATTTCCTAGCTGGTCCAGTGGTTAAGAATTCACCTTCCAATGCAGGGGATGTGGGTTCTTAGTTGAGAAACTAAGATCATACAAGCTATAGGGCACCTGAGCCTACATGCCACAACTGTGGGAAGCTTGGGAACTGCAACAAAGACCCAGGGCAGCCAAAATTAAATTAAATTTAAAAATAAAATAGAAGGACGATATGAAGGTAGTCAAAAGGCACAAACTTCCAGTTATAAAATAAATAAGTACCAACGATATAATACACAACAG